CTATGGGCAGTAAACCAAAACCAGTCTACAGCACTGAAATGGTTAACATCAACTGAGGTTTTTTTCATCTATCTGGAGAAACTAACTGAACTACCAAGGCAAATGGAAAATTTATTTATGCATTATTTAATCTGATTAGGAACAATTAATAGATAGGGTCATGAACAATCAGTTATTTCTTCTTAAATGTATTTAAAAATACCTGCCTGATTTCTAAAAACTTGTAGCTGACCTAATGGTAGAATGTTAGCTGGCATTTAATTGACGTATTTTATATCTAAAAAAAAGTCAGTCTGAACCTTTACAAAAAGCTCTAGTATGCTGTATTGGAACTACAGGAATTTGAAAGCAAATTATTTTCAAGCAGCAACCCAGAGATTTTTCAAATAGAATATAAGCTATGATGGTAGGTTATACAATTTTTTATTATCTATCTATCTATATTTATAGCACAACCAACATCTTGTCAGACAAGAGTAGAAATACGCATTCATTAGTTAAATTAGCCTTACGTGCAGCATTCCAGCCAAGTAATTCAAGGTTAGTAAGTCAAGATTTGTAAATCAAAGCAAGTTACTTGTGTTCAGCTACCGTTTAATCTTCACGTAAATATTGCATGTTAACATGCTCATGCTTTAATGTGCTTTAAGCTACTTAAGACAATCTTGCCTAGTACGATTTTTTATTTTTTTTTTTTAATTAGCAAGAGTTCTATGCTTGGAACTCCCTCAATTGAGAGTCACATAACATTAACTGGTATAAATTTTGAGTAAAAAACCTGGAATGATAGATAACCCTAGACTGCCATCAAAATCACTTTGCCTGAGTAGTAAAAAAAGTTAAGCTAAAATTTAACAATACAAAATTATTCTTAGATTTATTACTAAAATGCAGCTTCATTGTACTCCCTTTTCTCATGTATTCATATTTAAAATGAATTTGGTTAGTGATATATACACACATAAAGCTTCTCAAGCCTACGATTCACTGGTGAATCATCTGGGACTGGGCCATCCCAAACTCAAGATAACCTTCCTTCAATAAACCTAATCTTAGTTAGTTTATAAATAGACACTTGATCATCTTATTCACAAGTATATTCAGTGCTTACTCACTCAAGAATGAATACTAAAACGATTCTATTGATGCCAATAAGGAAGTTTAGGTTTCTTCCACTGAACCCATCCGTTTTCATCTGCTTCCATAAGTTTGCTAGCAAACATATCCAGTGTTCCGAAATGACTGTATAGCTCATCTTAGTTGGTATTTTTCCATTAACCAAATAGCAATCTTAAAAACATTTCCAAGTTATATTTTTTTGGTTTTAAAGGGTAAAAAGTCCTTCAGTGAACTAGAAGAATGATGCAGATAGAAAATAATTTCATCAGTAGTGCAAGAGGATAAAAAAAAATAGTCTAACATGCTTTTTCTAAAACATTTTCTGAAGCTTTAAAGGTAACTCCATCAGTGATAGCAACGGTGGAAGAACTAGCATAAAAGGAGCATTACAGATATCTTAACTGGGCTTAAAAAGGTTCTGGACTATGCAGTGACAAAATGCTAGAGGCAGCAAGCACAGATAGATGAAAATCTCATACTTGTGCTTCTTGCCACCCATAGCGCTGAACGGGAGACAGCGCAGTGGTAGGAGACTCCAGAACACCTCTAACTTAAGTGAGGCATTTGTAAAACCCAAGCACATTTTTGTCTTTGCCCCAGCTGGCATAAACACTAACTTAACCTACACTGTTTGCCCAACGTCTGTCTATTTATACATATAGCAGTGGTAGGTAGGTGTTTTTGCATTTAATTTACCGTGGCATGAACATTATTAAAGACTCTTATAAAGAACATTGCCTACTCTCTACATCAGTCAGTCTTCCCTTCTCAAAAGCTTCAGCGGCAGACTGGTGCTGAGGACCCTTCTCTGCACAGGAATGAATCCATTAGAAGAAAGAAAGAAAATTCAGACAGACCAATTACTGTGTGTTTTTTAAGTGATGTAATGCACACATTTTCTTTCAATTTGTCATCTTCACCTATCCATCTGTTCCTTCCTATTCCAATCCACCCTCTCGCTCTCGCCTTTTGCTTTCCTTCTTTCTCTTCTCCCCACACCCCTACCCTGGACCTCTCCCCAGACGACATTAGATGCAAAACGTGCATGACTGCCAGTTATCTGGAATCCTGCCTACACGTTATACATCCTACCCCAACCATCACTGGTAAGCCGATTTCAGCAATGTTAGCAATCATGGAAAAAAACAGTAAGACAGTTCCCTCCCTCTTCACAAATTCCCCGCATTTTAACGTGGGTGCAGCAGCCTTTGTTTAGGAAGGACCAGGCACTTACCTTGCACTTTTGTAGCTCACTCCTCTAAAGCAGAGTGCATTTTGGTTAACTCACTAGTGCTGTACACTCCAGCACATACTCTGTTTGAACAAATCTGCTGCTCAGCAGGTCTGAGTATGATTCCCATAAGCAGCGTGCACAAACTCTGTTGCCTTCAGGAGAAGGAACTGTGCTGGGTAGTTCCCTTTCCATATACAGAAGGACTGTATTTACACAAATTCGCTACTGCTAGAACACCGAGTTACTCTTAATTTTGTTATTGCTCTTTTTTGCCCCCTACACAGCCGGGTCTAAATGCATATTAGAAACACAGTAAGAGATCATACAAATATATGGAATAAGAATTTTGTTTTTAGGAGAACTGAAATTAAACTATTTTAAAACATAAATCTGGATGTGTGTGGGTTTCATTTCACTTAATTCCATCCATCAACCTACTCTGCAGCCAGTGACGGATATTTTACGAAGAAATCCCTGGTTATGTTGCATCAAAGCTTACAAACTTTATAAACTCTAAGAAGAAAGGCTGTTCCAAAATAGCTGCTGAATTCCTTGTGGAAGTCCCTCCTCACATGGAAAAAACCAGTAAGACAGTTCCTTCCCTCTTCACAAATTCCCCGCATTTTAACGTGGGTGCAGCAGCCTTTGTTTAGGAAGGACCAGGCACTTACCTTGCACTTTTGTAGCTCACTCCTCTAAAGCAGAGTGCATTTTGGTTAACTCACTAGTGCTGTACACTCCAGCACATACTCTGTTTGAACAAATCTGCTGCTCAGCAGGTCTGAGTATGATTCCCATAAGCAGCGTGCACAAACTCTGTTGCCTTCAGGAGAAGGAACTGTGCTGGGTAGTTCCCTTTCCATATACAGAAGGACTGTATTTACACAAATTCGCTACTGCTAGAACACCGAGTTACTCTTAATTTTGTTATTGCTCTTTTTTGCCCCCTACACAGCCGGGTCTAAATGCATATTAGAAACACAGTAAGAGATCATACAAATATATGGAATAAGAATTTTGTTTTTAGGAGAACTGAAATTAAACTATTTTAAAACATAAATCTGGATGTGTGTGGGTTTCATTTCACTTAATTCCATCCATCAACCTACTCTGCAGCCAGTGACGGATATTTTACGAAGAAATCCCTGGTTATGTTGCATCAAAGCTTACAAACTTTATAAACTCTAAGAAGAAAGGCTGTTCCAAAATAGCTGCTGAATTCCTTGTGGAAGCTCCCTCCTCACCCTTCTTATAGGTAACAGTGAACTTTAATGAACTATTTAACTAATACATAATTGATTTTTCTAGTTTTTAAATAGCCAATAAATACCATCGAAGAGACTTACAAGTTAGCAGTTAGTCAAATGAATTACAAGGTAAATATTAACTTACTAACCTCAGTAAGGACTTGCAGGCACAAGCTACAGATGAAGTAAAGGTGTTTTTCCAGCTTCACATTTCTCCCATGTTAAATATATTGCTAAATCTACTTCAGTTTGTTTCTATTCCAACATACCAACATGGTATGGAGATATTTCAGAGGTTATGTCTCAACTTTTCCTTTTCAGGCCTCCGGTTGAGTTAAGTTCATAGTAAGTATAATTAATATTCACAGGACATTTACAAATTGGTTTTGAAACCTGGTAGATAGAACTATGATGATGGAATAAAGACAACAGTTCTCTTTATAAAAAAAACCCTGGATACCACCGATGATTAAAATGAGTTGCATCAACTCAGGATTATTCTGCAGAGCTGCATGCAGTGTACTTCCTCCTTCCCGGTAGCTAGGATTAAAATAAATAAATAAAAACTAAATCTAAGCATGCACACTTTCTTTATTTGAAATGTTTCATACTCCATATTGATTCTTGAAGGGGTGACTTTGTTCTTGATTTTGGCAGATTATTTTTTTAGGTAATTGAGTTCAAGACTACTTAAGCCTCACTCTGCAACCTGAATTTTTTAGAGCTGTAGTCAAGCAAAGTGTCAAATACTTATCCATGTCCTCATTTGCATCCTGGGGCTACCTTAACTTTCTCCAACTGCTGAAGGTAACAAAAAGCTGAAAACAAACAGGGGCTGCTTCTGCCCAGATTCCCTCTACTCCAATAGTATCGTTCTGCCAATGAGAGAGGGAGAACTGCAACAGGAATGTTTCTGTCCAAACATCCACTTCTGCATTGCAGTCACTTCCTAAAATCGTAATTTCTATGGCTAGAAACTTAGCAGTTGGCCATGGCGTATCCATGTGCAGCCAGAGAGACTTAACGATTCCGTATCTGTTGGGAAACCTTAATCAAATAGTTGTTTCAGTAAAATAATACTCTACTGTTTTATATTTAGAAAATTAGTAAAAAATTAGTACTGTTGAAAGTTTCATGTTATTAAATTGGCAAAACTATTATGTGAAAAAGTCAAAAGTTGGTAGGGCTTTTTTGGAACGGAGGGGTGGAGGAATAGAGTGCTTTGTTCTGGTAACCACAGCTAGTGAGGGCAGTTAAGTGCAAAGAAGTGTGCAACATAATCCCAAATGTAAAACACAATTTAGCACGATGTAGTTACATGAGATCGTAACAATAATGGACGTAATAGCAATTATTTAGAAACAAGAAACTGTGAAATGACATTTATTGAAATGAATGAGACCCAATCTCAGACTAAACAGCAAAAGCCGATGAAATTCCATCAAGCACAGAGGTGCAAAACATGAAATTAAAATGAAGGCCCTCACCTAGAGCAACAGCGAGAGCAGGTTACCACGGAGTACCACGCACTAGAGGGCAGTCTAGACCTTCCACTGGCTGGCTGGGCTAGAACCACCACAGCTGCAGTCCCACCTCAATACAAGCATATAACAGAACCCTCCACATCTTTAAAGGAATCGTAACCACCACACCTGAAAGCATTTGCAAGAGCAGGAGTGCAACTCTTACTAAAATGACACTTCTCACTACACCAGTAATTTCTAATGACTTTTTTTTGTCTAAGAGTCCTATCTGCATACGCTACCATCTTGCACGGATTCTGCAGTTTTCCCTCCAACAAAGATGTCTCAAAATACTTCTCAAAGGACACTGCTAATTACTGTCCATTATGAGGGGAAAGTTAAGCACAGAGTAGTGATGAAACACACCAAATCCAGGGACGAAATTAGACATGTCCTCCAATCTAACCAAATATTTATTACATAAACTTTGTTAATGAACTAGAGCAAACAATTTACTCATGTTTGTTAATGTATAAGAAAATAAATCAGCAGTTTCAGGCCAACTGATGAGTAAAGGCCAAATAGCAAAGAAAGCTCATACACAGACAGGTAAATAGAACTATTTTCATAGATTTATTTGAAAAATACTTACAAAAGCAAGTATGTTTGACACTAAAATAGTTAAACTTATTCTGTGTTTACATTGGTGTAATTAAGCGTGCAGCATTAACAGTCTTTTCTGTTTGAAGCATTGTTAGTTTGCCTTAAGGAAGTGGGGAAAATTCTGGTTTACTGACAAACAACGTCTCCCTGCCACTTCCTCAGCAGCAACTACGGCTGTGATCTCTGCCCAAGATCTCAGCACACTGAAAACTGGGTTTGCTTTACTAACTGCCAGCCTGCCAAGTGCAGATTTACTGGAACCTGGAAGGTGGGTCAGTTTTTTTTCCTCTAGGAAGGAACAGGAGAGAGGAAGGAGAGGAAAACAAAAGGATTGAGTTTTTACGTGAAGAATTTACCAAAGCTACATTTCATGAAAGAGTCCTTAAAAATGTCCTTTGTTAGTGGCCGTCTTCCTTCAAAACATGTGCATACTTCTGATCTTACCCATAAACCAACGCCCCTGAAGCTTACCATTCCTATAGCACTTTTTTTCTAGGAGAGGCCAGGACTAGAATAGATAGGGTTCCCCATCCAGACAGTTCAGTAGTGTCAGAAATGAAATACAGTGCAATTAGTTTCCACATACTGTATAGCTACATTTTAAGACAAAACTGGCACAGCTACTGATTGACAGAGTTTGCTGTCTCCATGTAGTCCATGCTCTGGCAACAGCTATAGTCTGTTCACAGAGCGGTTTATCAGGGCACATGGAGCGGATGGGATCTCACCAGCCATTATTTTGCATGGTGCCAGTAGCTGCTGCTGCTGCTCGAGCCAGCATATTTCTGTGTGTCTCTGAAGCAGAAGAAAAAGTCCCATCCATCACATGCATTGGCAGCATTCGCCTTCTGCCAGGCTGAGGGGTGTAGCTGTTCTGTCGCCAGTCTTCTTCTGGGGGCATATCAACTCTCCTTGGACCCGGGGCCTTAATGCAAGAAGGGGGCACAGGACAACCTTGAGAGGCACCGGGATCCCAAGAAGGCTCATGTGGTATTCTTAAAGTGCTGTAGTCTGTGCTGGCTGGTAGCCTGCAACCGATGGCATAAGATTCACGCATTTGATGTTGCGAAGGCTGCTGGAGGAAGCCTTCCTGTAAACTCTTGCCTGGCTGGCCAGCATGTTTTCCCCAGAATGTCGTTCGTTTATCTGGTAACGTGGCTGTTTGCCTGGCAGGGTAGCTGGTGTTCAGCCAATGGCCAGAGACACTTGATGCTCCACCTCCTAAATGCGGATTAACAAGAGGCTTTTGCCCCTGGGAGAGGGTGCCTTTGGGTGCACAAGGGAGACTCCCATAGCTCAGTGCCACACCTGGGTAGTCTTCACCTTGGAAAGCTTCACCCCTGTCAGGCACAACCAAAAGTTTCTGGATGATGTTCTTCTGATCTCCTGGGGGGTAAAAAAAAAAAAAAAAAAGGTCTGATTATATATTTTTGTTTCATCCTCTCAGAGCTTTCAGCTGTGGCCAACAGGTGACAGAAGAAAAACAAACTCACTAGTACATCCAGTTACTGGTGGACATGCAATTCTGAATAAAAGGTAGCTGCACCCTTTCTAGCATTCACTTTCCTCACTGCATTTACTCCTTATCCTACCACAGCTGCTGTCACAGACTTCAGACTTCTTTAATAGCCCTTCTGTCATCAAGGAGGAGCCCAACAAAATATTTCAAGGCTGGTAGATCAAACTGGTTTTGATGGCTGTCACAGGGAAAATAATTCTCATGCAGGAATTGGTTATTTCTATCGGCACAACTACATGTGTGATTTGCTGGTATGAGTAGCTTGTGGAAGTATTTTCATACATGAGAAGGTGGTGGGTCTTACTGCTACTTTTACACTAAAGAAAATATCTCACAAAAATGTGAATATGATTTTATATAAAGTCATTATAATGTTTCCATAAAGTTTATTCCCTTTTGTTATGTCCACTTAGCACAGAATCATGGAACAACTCAAAAGGGCAGAGAAGAAAGAACGTGATTCATCCTTCCAGATTTCTGGAGGAATTCAGGCAGATGGTGAAACATCATTATGAAAGACAAGATCTGAAGAGTTGTATTTCAGCAATATTTCTGATCACAAAGGAGGATGAAAAGTCCTGTGATTACCTGACTGTTTACGTGCCTTGCCCACCATGCTGGGCATCAGTACATCATGGGGTAGGTGCTGCACCTGGGTTGGGTTGTGCTGGGTATCAAAGGGAAACACAGGAGGATCATGGGGGAAAGGAAGGGAAGTGGAGCTGGAAGAACGGTGGCTGGTGTCCACTGGCATTTTCCTCATATTTGGTGCTTCCTTTTATAAAATGAGAAAGGAGAAAAAAAGAACATAAAATGATGAGTAAACACAGAGTTGGGTTGAATCAAGCAAAGACGGTGTTGATCCAAGGAAAGGGAGGAGTCACCAGAACAAAAACATGCATCTGTATGTGAAAAAAACACAAATAAAAACTACATCAATCCAGTAAGGCTCTTGCTGCAGTGGTGGGCTACTTAGGAGGATCATTTGACTGGAAATATACCAAGGAGAAAAAGCCAAAACAAACACAAACCCGTCATGGAGGTTTGGTATACAAGCTGAATCCACAGAACGATGGCAGGCCAGTTAGCATTGGAACTGCCATGCTACAAGCCATGAAATAAAGAAGGGTATTGCTGATCCTGCCTTCCTATTTTCTAGCAGGCTTTACTGAAAGCTCCGATTCCAGACTATGAACAGATTTACCTGTTACAGCTGAAGTATTTACCAGTGCTGTACCATTTCCCTCTCTTAGGAGGTACATACCCCAAAGCAGGGATGGCTGAATGGCACGGTAACAAACCATCACAGACTTGAGCCCAGTGACTAACCTGAAGAGTGGTGACAGCCAGCCATCCTATCAGCTGCTTCTGTTGTAGGGATAAAAACCTTCAGCAGAGACGGGGGTCTTGGACAGCTAGAGGTTTTTAATTGCTTCTGCCAGAACCTCCAGGTATGCGTTAAAGCCCTCAACTAAAGCATGCTGAGGAGCAAACATTTGGAAGTTGACATATTCTTAGCTTATGGTACACAGCAGAAAGAATCAGACTAATCAGTCTACATAACTGATTTTGCAATTGAGACTCTTCTACACTTATTATGCAGTTGGTTTCAAATCAAAACTTAAGCACAGTTTGCAAAAAACTCAATCCAAGACAAACCATCATATCTGGCTATGTTGCTAAACACCAACAACAATCTGTTACTGTTTTCCTCAGTGGCAGTTTTAACTCACACCTAAAACTACTTAACAGAGGTAACAAAGGGGGGAAAGAAAAAAAAAAAAAAATCAATCTCCCTATTTTTAGTTACTTCTTCTATGTGACTGGCTCCATGTTATGTACCAAGTCTTGAATTGTCTCCCTTTCACGCTTACTTTTACTCTCTAAAAATCCTACTTGCTGAATATACCCACAAGAGAGCAGAAATTTTCGCATGGTTAGTGGTGTCTTTTTAAAATTATACGTGTATTAGAAGCTTTCTTGAAAATACTCTAAGTCAACTGAAAAAAATGTTTATGCTGGATGTCTTTGTATACTGGCAAGTAACATTAGCTCACGTGCTTACCAGCTGCAGCAGGTACTACTCTGCAATGACTCCTGAAGAAGAAGGCTTTGTTATTTAAATAAAAGCTCATTCTTCTTCTTCCAAAAAGAGAACAAAAATTCACAAAGACAAGCTTTCATCATGGCTTATTATTCACCTGTCTACTGTCTTGTTTGTTAAACTGCTAGATGCAGAGAGAGAAAACAGTAATCCTACACACAGATGATGGCTCTTTCGAAAGCTGCACTTTATTCTACTTACAAAACTGTGAGAAGAGACCAAGGTCTCTTCTCTGTTTGAGGTGACTGTCCCACTGAGACTGCGAGCAATGCGACGGAAATTCTCTGCACTGTACATCTCCTCTTCGGGTTCCCTGCTATGTTCGCTGGTATATGTGACCTGCAGACAATGATCACACATTTCAGAAAAGGCTCTCCATAATATCAATTTTCTGTAATAATTATAGGGAAGAGATCAATATAAATCTAACAGACTACTTATATTTCAATGAAACTCCATGACCTTTTATTTTTTGAAATCCTTCATTCAGGTACTACCTTGAAAACTTAAAGCACATGGGTCTGTTTGGATCTGGTGATTAAAAATATTATTCCTTATAGTCTTTCTTTCTTTAGTAAATATACACTGATTGATTTGTCTCAGTGAGAGTCATTCTTTTATAAATATCTAAAGCCAGGTCAAAAAGTCTCTACTGGGATGAATCTACCTGAAGGACTGACTGCTGCTACAGGCATCACTGCCCCTGTAGAGATAATCATGGCTGCAACTGACAGCCATCCTATGATAAAGTACTACAGTCTTCTCATAACCAAAAAAAAAATCTAGTATTATTTGAGGAGTGCTGGAAGCTTGTTCATCTTATGTTAGCAAGCAAAACGTTTATTCCTTCTTTCTTTTCCTCTGTTCTATATAAGCAAGACCATTTAAGCTCCCTTTAATGAGTATGGAAGTATTATAGGGAATGTCATTTCCCCTTGAAAATACTTGTATGTTTTCATGTACAGGCGCTGATATGTAACTGCCAGTTATTTAAACAGTTTAACCCCAGAAAAAAAGGAGAAAAAGCATCTTCTCCCACTCTGAGGTGACCAACTACCAACCGTAGCAAATACCATCAAAAAGCAGTTATCATAAGTTGTGATGCAAGGTAGTTCATGTCAATATGTTCAAAAAGACTAGATCTTAAAGTTTTCGGGTATGTTCCTCAAAGTCGGAATTTAGATAATTTGATTGCATGCAAGCTGCATGTAGCACAAGTCACTCATTTTTCATCTAATTAATCCTGAGCTAGACCACACTTAAAATTCTCTCTAACATTAGTATCAATGACCCCAGTACCTTTTTCATAATATATTCCACTTCTCCCACTGTAAATTCTTTCACTTGCACAGGCCAAGCCCTTCCCCCTCTAGCACATCTTAAGTAACAACATGTCACCTTGGAGACAGAAGAGACAGCGGATCCACACAGACTGCGCTCGATCTCTGCTGTTGGGGTTTTCGAGAGACCCATGCCAGCTGTAGCACGCAGCTTCCTCACATTCAGGTTCACAGAGACTGGGAAGGAAAATGCTATGGTTAAATTCAACGCCTGATTGCACGTTATGGCACATTTCTGACTATCTTAGGTCTGACTCCAGCAAAGACAGACAGACTATACACACAGAACGAGAAGTCATCAGAGAATCTTTGAACATTAATACATAAGCTAACTCCCAACATTTCAAAGGGAAACAGTCTATCAGGATGCTCACGCCTGCTTCACTTGCCCTTTTGCAGGCTTCTGGGGAGCAGTTAATTGAACTATTTAAGAGTTAAATGATTTAACTGCACACCAGCACTTGTTTGATACAGAGGTGAGATAGTTTAGGGGGCCTAAAGGGACAGAAAATCAGCTACCAGGAGCAAGTTACCTGAAGTTACTTGGGATAAACAAGACTCATTGGCTTTAAATTCCCCACATAATTCACCTGCTCGTTCACACCCAGTGCTACAGTTTGTCAGCTGTTTGTTGTGCTGGTTAAACAGTTAGAAGTGTTATTTTTAACTAGGATTGCTACAGTTACTTCACTTCAGTGCAATCCCCACCAACCAGTTATAATCCTAAAATTTCTCATGGAAAAGACAGGCGGATCAATGGCCTAATAAAAATGGTCACAGGGAATCTCTCTATAAAGAAAGAAAGGTGATGTGCTGGTAACGACACATTTTCTGCATTGAGGTGGCATTTGGAAGATCAGGTCTTTGCTTTAATCTCTGTTGTAAAGCTCCAGTAGTGAAACAGAGGCATTTTCACCATGATTCTGGATGCAAAGGTCTGACAAAACCAGTTGATATGGGGCAGAAAGCTTAAAACAGCATTTGCAAATGAATAGCTAATGCAAGTTAAAAGTGAGAAAGAGCTGTCCTAGACCCACTCAGGTGATTTTCATCCAGTTCATCACAGTAGATGCACTGGTTCAAACTTTTTGTTTTCATTCGGAATTTGCAGAACTTAGGAAGAAACATCTGAAAGTCACAGCAAACCAGAAGATCTCAAACACAAACTTCACTTCAGAAGAATATCCGTATCTCATATCCCTCATACATGTAGTGGGGAAATAGGCAAGAAAAGTGTCAGCGTAGGAAACAGGGCATTTGATGACAGAACTCTGAAGCTCCAGCTAACACTAAAGCAACTGGGCTTTATCCTGTTAGATTTCCAGAAAGAGGTTCCAAAATCAGTAAGCTAAGTAGGAACACGTAAGACCTTCTGACTCAAGCCCATGCAAAAGAGCATCTGCAAGGTTGTGAGGTCAGATCTTGCCTAACTCTGAAAGAAAACCAAAGGACAACAAATGGGAAATGGCCACCTTCGGATGTGTCACCTGGTCTGCCACCAGACTGCAAGACAAGAGAGTTTCATAGAAAACTCAAGCTGTTGAATAAAAACCTGTTCAAGAGTTTACTGCAGTATTCACTCTGGTCACAGCCAGGCTTGATTTGTCAGGAATGATGGAGGCTCCACCTCCATGGGTGCAGGGCAGGGGAAAACCTGTCTTGTTGTATGTATTGCAATATATATCACACATATATATCACTTTGGTACCCATCAAGTTTCAGGCTGCTTTGTGTTTAACCAGAAAATTCGTAGCTCTAATGCTATGACATGGATTATAAAGAAATATGCTTCACTTGTGCTAAGCAGAGGATCAAGGTTGCCCTATCTCAGGCAGGAGATTAGATCAGCTTAAGTGGAACCACACTGTTGTCATCAGACTCTAATTGAATGCCTCCAGCAACAGCTGGATGTTCTCACAAACAGCAACAGAATCTGTTAGTTTTCTTTCGGCACCAAGTAATCCACAAGGTCTCAAGGATCTTAGTGCAGATCATGTACCCCCAGTGCTGCTTTCACAAGTAATTTTCCAGAACTTAAAGCAGGTAGTCCTTAGCAAAACACAAGTTCAACTCTCATAGATCTGAAAACACTTAAAAGTTATTCCCCTCAACCAGGTATAGACTAAATTCTCAAATACAATACAATCAGTTAAAATTCACAAATGTGGAGAACGTGAACTTCAGGCATAGAAACAGTTTAATAAACTCCAGAGGTGATGTAGGACTTTCAAACAGCAAAATTCAGCCTGACCTAAGCAGCTAGCTCTCTACTTGAAAACAGGATCAATTATGTCTGTGTTACTCTAAACAGATGTTGTGCTCCGTTTGCCAAGATCAACAGCTACTCTGCAGCCTCCCCAGGCAGTGCTATCACACTGCTTCTCTAGTTAGAATGTTTTCAGAGTCCACAACCTGAATCTTTCTGTATCTGTGCACAAATTCATGCCCATGAACTAAATCAACTGGAAAACATACCTTCACCTATATTGGAGTACATAGGCAGGTCAACCAAGAAAAACAGCTGCATCATTCTTACCTGATTGGTCAAATGGATACCTAGCACTGTCCTGTCTTCCCAAGAAAGGCCTAGTGGCCCGAGATGCCTGCAGACTAGTCTGATAGAGGGATTCCAGTTCTGAGAGCTCCTGTTCTGTGTCTTGATTCCACTGTGGATGCAGATGTACTGGGATCCTGCTCAAGTCATCTCCAACTGCTCTCTGATCAGAAAGGGGTGGACTCCTCCCAGGTACAGGAAGCCATTCAGTATTCTTATTAGCCTTCTGAGAACTGTAATACCTAGTAACATTATCCACCCAACGGTCCACAGGCATAGAGGCAACCATGCTACTAGTAGCTCCATCATCCACCTGTTTCATTCCTCCATCATGACAGTGCCTTTCCAGGTAGGGTGCAGGGTCTGCTATATTCTGTCCACCTCTTCTACACAGCTCTTCACTGTGAGAATAAATACTCTTAGAAGCAACATGTTGGGCACTAAAACCCTCCAAAGAAACTACCCCGTCCCTAATATCCACAGTTGAGTGTAATTTTTCAGGAGACTGGTTTTTGTTCTCTTGGTTTTGATGGATTAGCTGTCTGTAACCAGAGGATGAAGGGTTGATGAAAGATTTTTGAGTTAACTTTGGAGACTTCTCATCCTGACACACTGCAGCAATCCAGCCTTTTTCATGAGTACCTTTTCTCTGGGAGACTGCATGCATTTTCTGAAACTGCTCTGCCAAGGAGCGAACATGTCCCTTTGTACTAAAAGCCTCAGATTTGCAACCTTCTGCTGTGCCATATTCATCCTGTGAGGGTAATAAAATCTCATGGCTGTTTGCTCTGGAGTACTTATTTGGTTTCTGCAAAGGATCCAAGGAGCACTGCTGTGTAGGGGATGAAGTTGCAGGGGTCATTGCATGATAGGTCCCTAAATGATCAATGCTGGGCCGCACTGGAGAGCTTGCAAGTTTGGAACAAGGACTGTGCTGGCTGTCCTTTTTGGGAGATGCTGCTTGTGGTGGATGTGGACAGGGAAACAGTGTAGGCAAGGACCCAAAGTTTACTGTGTTAGCCTTGGGTTTGTACTGAGGTGTGAGAATAGGCGTTATGTTATGAACCTCTTCTAACTTGCTGCCACTGCAGCATTCCCTATAGTCTTTTGGCCCTGTGGCTGTGGTGTCAGCAAATTCCACACTATGGTGGGCATCATTCTCAGTTCTTGCAGACCTCTCTGCCAACCCTTGCCTATAGGGAAAAGAGGGAACTTGGTCATGAAAATCAGCAGAAGCAGACTGGAAGTTTGGAGAGATCCTGTTGGATGGATTGCTTTCAGAAGGGGGCAAGGAGGAAGACTCTGGATATAATGATGAGTGCAATTCATGGCAGGAAGCAGGTGGGTGGAAGAAAGAACTGGACCCAAATTCCACTTCTTTGTTGGGTTCCAGTGGTACCTCCTGGCTCAGCAGTACTTGGAGCGGGCCAGTCTGTTCACTAAAACACACAGAAGGGTAAATGATTAGCAGTAGTCATTGCTTTCGTTTATCCCTAGGGTGCAGAACTTGCACTAGGTGACATATACCTCAACACACTTTTCTTTGCTAGCTGTATTCTGATGAAGACTTTCCATTAATTCAGTAGATACATACATGTTAGTCCTTTGCTTCTAACCCTGATTTCCTACTATAACTGATCTACTGAATCCATTTCATATTTTTAAGAGTATTTTGCTACAGTTAGGCTCTATATAAAGTATACTTGTACAGCACCCTAGGCACTTTAACGAGCAGACTGAGTGCGTGGGTAGGTATAACTAAGAACAGTAAAAATAGCATTTATATAAAACAAAACAACTGTTTCCAACATTAACATCTTAGATATTTTTGAAAATACTTTGGACACGTTCATGATCTGAACATGAACTGACAATTTTTCCATAAGGTCCCCTCTCTCCAGGCAACTTCATGAAGAATGACTTGACAAATGGAAGGAACAGGTTGAAATCTCTCTCGTATCATCTTTGTATTCTGATCTTTGAGATATTTATCCAACACATTAAATAAAGTTCAAGCTAAATATATAACTATTATTTTGTAATGATTTGTATTCTAAGTATATGTCTAAAAAATAATTTGTATTCTTTTATGTACCAATGCAAGACAATTATATCCTTGGGTCATACATGCCCTTGGTGTTTTTCTGCATTTAGTTAGCATTTTAACGTGCAGACAGAAAAAACAGTACCAAGTTCATGTGCCTGTGAGAAAACGACAGGCTACAAACAGCTCCAACAGAGAACATAAGGAAACTGTAACATCATTGCTTTGTTTCCTCCTTGAGATGCATAGAATGAAAGTTATCATGAAGACCTAGTTGATATGTGTAGCAGAATGACCTTGTCTGTGAGTAATCGCAAACCTTGCACTGTCTACAATGTTATTTATATCAAAGCAAGAGTACAGAAATCTGGCTATGAATAGATTCTTTTCACTGGCTGCAATATTAACATTTGGTTGGATATAACTTTTTGCAAAAGTAATGTTCTTTTCACAGAGCAGCAGTGAGCAAGTTCAGCGTTAACAAAATTAGTTTAGAAAGTTTTTCTTTCATTTTCTTAGAATCTGCCAAAATGCATAATTGGGGCTCTGCATTTCTCCTGTAAAAGAGGATATAATGGACTCTTGATTGACAAAAAGATCAGCCCTCATTACGTATAATTCAGCTACTGCAGGAAAAGAAAAGAACATTATGAACTATAGCCTGGCAGGTGTGCAAATTAACTGAGTTTTTAGAATATAGCTGTATGTGGCATTTTAAAAAAAGGAAAAGAAAAAGGATTCTTATCTGAGATTTCATCTAAGCTTCTGATAATACACCATGTAAGAAAGGGGAGAGGGAAGAAAAGTAACAGGTCAAGAAACAGCCTAGAAATTGGATAGGGATGGTCTAGGACTAGGAGGGAATGGCATGGGAAGAAATAAGGATTAAGCTGCATGCTAAAGAGGGTAGGAAGAAAGGATCAGTTACAGCAGAGAGTTAATTATGCTATAGTTAAAGTCTGTATGGAAGAAAGAATCATGAAGAGACGCTGAAGAGACTGCTAAGCTAGGCTACAGGATGCCGGGAAGCACAGAAAGAAAATGAAGAATGATACAGCATCAGGGAGAGCAGTCAAGGTGACAGGATCAGGAGCTGGATCCAAGAGTTGTACCAGTGCACCACTAGAGAAGCGGACTAGAAAGAAAAGATCAGTGTACTTGACACTTTTCAAACTACAGAGCACTAAAACGCGCTGGTTGCTGTTCCCAACATAAAAGCAATTATAGCAAGATTTTTACTGCAGTACACTCTTTTACTGAGTCCTGAAACTGCTCCTGATTGCAAACAGCTGCACATTTCATCCTAACACACACACCCTTTTTAGCCAGGTTATTGTCTATTGTATTCTTTCCCTTGGTGCATAAAATATCGATGCTGCCAGGCACTGACTGCTACAATTCTCTGTCACAGATCATATTTTGAACACATGCACATTGAACTATTCTATAAAGACTGGGGGGAAAAAAAGAAGGGGTAGTTGACCATCTTATAATAGGATTTAACCTAAAGAAGAAAGAAATAGGAAGTAACACTATAGGATTTGGACTATCTAGGGGAATATATGTAGTTTGCCTTTTTTTCCAGACTGCACTGCTCACAGATGCAGCTCAGATCTGGGTCTAGGTGATATACTTGGACTACCTTGTAGACTGGGCCATGGTGCCGCCCTGTGGTGGGTGGCAGGCTGGCGGCGGCAGCGGCTGCGATGGCTGTTGGTGCTGCATGCGATCCTGGAGGCTCCGGGCTTTTCGGATACTGATTTGCAGCTTCTTATCGACTAGGGCTCTGCTGTGAGTGCTAGCGCTGGCATCATGCATGGCAAGTCTTAGTTTAGCTAAAATGCAAAAGAAAACATAGCAGAAAACAAACAGAAAAAAGGAATAAAATTGAAAAAGAAAAAAGAAAAAAGATGCAGCAAGAACATAAAATATGGACCATGCAAATACTGCCACAAAAGAGTTCACAAGGATGCTATTGTTTCCATTAATGCACATTCAGCTTAGCCAGGTGACCAAACACGTTAATTGAAACTAAACCAAAATAAAGTAAAAAAAAAAAAAAGAAAAAAATTATCCATGTTTTAGCCCAACTTCTCATCCCCTTCACACAGGCTCTTTCCAACCCTACCACACTGATGCTTCATTCTGACACCTACCCTTCTCCTGTATCCTCCATACCTGGGACTCCCTTTACGTGCAGGAATACCCAGCTGGGATTTGAGATTCAGCATATACCTCGCTGGAATGGAAGCTAATAGAGCTATCACGACAGCTGTATGCTGCGCCCCTTATTCTGCAGTCTGTAAGAGCCAATTTCTAAATGCAAATGCACAGGAGCTACTCACTCTGTCTGCAGCCATTCTATACAGACAGGGAGGAGCATGGGGTGAGACAGCCAGACAGTCATAATGGAAAAAGACCAAAAATAAAATGAAATCACATAGCACACATTCTCAAAGGTCACAATGCATTTAAGCACTTCAATGTCCTAATGCTTTTTTCTTCATGAAAGTCAGGTACAGCATAGCTCATTTCTGTTAATCCAGAGGACTCAAGAGCGGGCTACAATTTTCTTCCTATGCTACACCCTCCATGAGAAACAGGGGAGCTTAACGCCCTTTGTAATTTGGTCTGAGGATTGGGAAAAATTGTTAATTGAGGACCAAGGGGGAGTTACCTACCAGGTGCTTGCACCATTTAGCACCAAAAAGGGCACCCCAGTGCTGTTACTGCCACAGCGCTGGAGAGAACAACAAAAACAGATGCAAACATGAAAAAAAACAGAGATGAAGAGGAGTAGGACTAAAACCGGCAAAACGGAATGCTTGAAAAAAGGAAAGATGCTGTCTCCCTGCACGTTCCTAAAGACCAGCTGGATCCCCATATTACTACCTGACCATTTAACGTGATTCAATGTTTCAGACTTTTTTCTATGATACTAGCAAACTGTCAAAAGCGCAATAGCTCAGGCGGTTAGAGTTACTTACATATAGCTTCATTACAGAAAGCCAAAGCTGCAGCACAATCCCCCTTCTGCTCCTGATTCAGCGACTCTTCAAAGATTGAGTCTGCCTCCTGCATCGACTTCTCAAAGCCATCACTCCTCCCTGCAATGGGCAGCAACCCTTCATTTTGGTTTCATTCATTGCAGAACCCTCATCCCATTCATGATTGCCAAATTCTTCCACATATGGAGTCTCGCAGAGGCTGCACATATCCCAGACCGCACCACCTAACCTTCCCTAAGCAGAAGTACAACTTGAGTACTCTGATATGCTTGACATCCACACAGTAAAACAATGTGAACCAGATTTTTTCCTCAAATTTTGTTTACTTGAGAGAGTTGTACTGGCTTATTATATTATTTTCAACAGTCTGAATCAGTACAAAAGATGGTATAAGACACATCACAATTAGGAATTAATCTAAATTTAGAATTAAATCTAAACCAAAATATACCAGTAAAAGAAATATAGCAGGTCAGGGCTTTCCTTGTACATTATCTTAAGTCCCCTGCCAAAAATCATCTGTCTCTTCTTCAGATATCCAATTACTTCCACACAAAATGGAAAAAACCTGAAACAACGGGGATGTCTGGGGAACAAAAAACTCAGACTTGAGTGTGAGTGTAAATGCCTGCACGAAATACTTCTACAAACGCGTGTTCAGTGCATACACTCAACTGCTGAGAGAGACGTATGGAATATGAAAACCCAACAGTCTTGCAGCTTTAGGAGGAAAAACACGCCGAGAAGAAAGGGACAATTGTCAAGAATTCTTTTTGCAACAATTTAGAAAACAGTGTTGGAGAAGAGAAGGATAAATCATCCTTGGACACAAAAGAGAAAGATGAAACACTGTGTCCTGGCATCAGAACATCAAGTTCTGAGAGAAGGAAATGCCCAAACAGTCTGGTCTCGCCTATTAGGCATTATGGAAGTTATGCACTAAAATGTACACATTCAAATGAGGCAGGGGAAAACAGAAAATAAAACTTGACTTTTTTGGGTTTTTCTTTTTTGGGGTGGGGTGGGGTGTTGGTTGTTAATGGAATGTCTCTGCCATTGTGGTAGAGAACATGAGTATCTTTATCAGCCAACAATACATTACGTTTTCTCAACTTGCATAACATATGCTACGGCCTGGACTGCTCCCCAGCACCCTCGTGCACAGATGCAAACACAAACTCTCTTATACCATAAACCCCAAAGAACTCGCATGAAAAGCAAGTACTGCAGAGAAAAGTAAGAGTTGTTAGAGCAGTGAGTTAATCAAGCAGCACATTCAGTTTCAAAATCAAGGCTACTGAGGCTTGTTATCAAGGCCAGTATACTAAAGTTAGCTTTCTTTGCATGAATTTAGCAGTTTACTTGAGGGAAAATGAGTCACAAGTGTTCTGGAGTTCTGCGTACAAGCAAGCCTTCCAGGCAGTCAAGCAGTCTGTTAATGTTAAGCTATTACGTCTCTGACTGGAGTGGGGAAAGGCTTAAAAGGAATAAACAAAAACTTTCCCAGATCTCAAGTCAATGCCTGTAAACTCCTCAAACGTTCTTCTGAAGTCTTTTTTGATTAAGCATTACTCTAGTTTACTTTCTTTTTAACAAGGAGAAGCTAAGCAACTTCTATTTTTACCAACTAATACAACAAGAGATCAAAGAGGGTAACGTCTTGGAGAATATGCTATTTTCTTTTGGGCAGGAGCAGCAGAGAAGACAACATCCTCATGCTCAACAACAGAGGTTTACTTTTCAATTTTTACATCATTAGCATTTATGTTACAAAAGTAAACACTAATACTAATAAAAAAAATATCCATCTACTCTGGTATATCAGAATTTTTTACCTGGTTACTGGCAGGTCACAGCAGGACTGTAAAAGATAACTAAAAGTGGCTCAGTGATGGTCATCAAAAATTATAAAAACATTCCCACAGTCAGACATTCTCACAGAGATCATATTTTTCAGCTGCCATTGGCACAGTGACATTCTGGCTGCTGAGCAGTTGGCATGGCTGTAGGCTGCAGAGCACTGGCTGTATTGTGCCCAGAGCTGGCATTGCTGTGGGGTGCCCCTCTCCTTCCTCTCTGTCCTGTAGCAGTAAACCAGCACCTCAACTCTGACCTACAACAGGTTTGAGCAAAGCAGCATGGGGATGCAAGGAGGCCTGGCAATACAGGAGGCCACAGTGGGTTTGCCCTAATCATGCATGTGTTTGTGGGAGCAGAGCCTAGGTGTTCACTACACCTTCCTTGGCTCTGCTGACCTGGCCAACAACCCCCCCAGTTAAATGCTCTACTGGGCTTCAGGCTTCACTCTCGACGGGGTCAGTGCACTTCATCCCACCTTCTCTCCGACTCCCCTCACTGCCTGATGGAGATTGAGGGCTAAAACAAAGTTGAGGGCTAAAACAAAGGCACTACATGTGAATCCTGTCACTAAGTTCCCTCTGCTGCAGCTCCATCCTTCCAGTTAAACCTTTTCTGCTGCCATCCCCTGCCAGAAACATGAGGAGTCATGGAAAGACAATCAAACTTACTATTTGGCTTTTTAATTTTTTTTTCCAATTCTTTTTCCTTAGAAAAGATATGTAAGCTAAACCCAGATCAGATTTTCAACATCAAATCCAGCTTAAGCCTGCCACAGTACTTGTTCCCACCTCTGTGCTGTGGCTGCACAGCTGGGCAGGGAGAAAGAGTGGAAAGTACAAGGGCAGGAACAAGCAGAATTGCTTAGGGCAGTGATGCTACCCGAAACAAAACAGACAAGCTATGCTGCGGGTGGACCCGAGGCGTCTGAAAGGTATAAACAGCCCTGCTCATTCCAAGATGTTGGTTGAAGCCTTGTAGCTAAATCTAGATATTAATACTAGTAATGGTGCACATCACCACATAAAAATGGAAAGGTGCAAATATATTAAAAACACCTTTGCATTACTTTGTCTCATTTAAGATGGAACTTGGTCAAAATACCAAAGTTTTTTTGCATCCTACAGGCTTGAAATTGATGGTCTTTCACTAACTGAAGGTACAAAATTGTAATGGAGGGGGAAAGAGCGAGAGAGAGACTTACAATAAGAAATTAAGCTCAAAGGTTCAAAAAACTTCAGCGCTACAGTCTTGCAAAATATACTGCATTCAAAATGTTACCCTGATTCTGCAGTTCATCTAGATCCATGAACCTGCTGGGACGGGGATTAAAGCCCATTGCTGCCTCCATTTCCTTTTCTCTTTTTCTGCGTAGTTCTTGTTCATGCGCTCTTCTTGCCACCTCCTCTTGCAATTCATCCAGTTCACTCTTTAAAGGGACAAACATCTCCCCACCTTCCAATAAAAACAAACAAAAACAAACCCCAAACATTTTTTGATAGTAAAATCTCTTACAGTATCCCTTAAAAGACTAAGAAATATTAATGGAGAGTACAATTAACATTAGAAAATAACAGACTGACCAAGCAAAGACCACAGAATTTCAGATCACAAATCTTGCTTTGTTAAGTTTTACTTTTAAAACCCTGCCCAAGCCATTTGGTTTCCAGTTGCCGTCTCTGTGTCAGTGACTGGCAGAAATGCTGCAGTATTGCTTCAAGCTCCCCTGCAGCACAGCCCATCCCTGGATTCACTGACCCAAGAAACAGCAAATGGAACAGAGTCAGTCACTGGAAGAGATAAACCTAAGCTGATGCTGAAATCTTAAGGCTTCTTACTGTGCTTATAATTTGTAAATAATGCTATGTCAAATTAGCCATATCATGAGCTTTAGTAAGTAAAATGGATTCCAACTGAGATGCTTTTCATCTAACTGCATAAGCAGATGGAAATGGGAGGAAAATAAAGCATACCAATATCCTAGCCAACACAGCAGAAATCAATCAGTCACCATTCTCACTTCAACTATGACCTGTATTCAAAAAGTGTCTCCTCTCCTCCCTTTCCCTTCCCCAGACATTCTCTGGAATAAAGTATTTGCTCAGAACCATACATAATCGGAATGCATATCTGCAGAAAAGCTCAGCCTTAGCCCAAACACCTTGTAAATATCCATTCTCATTTCTGACAATTTTGAATTTTGTAGAGCATTATGAGCTTCTTTTCGAGACTCTTCAATCCTACTAAGTTATTATGACTTATGCTTGGGAAGGTATTTTCCACTGATGGCAGAATACTGAGTTATGGGAAAGAATAGGAAAAATAGTTTTACTTTATCGGTTAAGTCAATACTCAAAAAAGATGCCAGAGCAACATGATCAAAGGAGTATTCCAACAAAGTTTTTTGCAACCCCCTTTGGTCAATCTTGTAAGTTATATCTTGTAAAACTGTGTTATGTTCTGCAGTGTTTCTTTTCACAGTGAAATTGAGGAAAGGGAAGATAAACATCCAGAAAGTAAAGAACAACTCCAATACAATTTACCTTGCAAACCCACTGCTACCGAGGAAGTGTATCTTACCATTTCCAATGGCGTGTGGACTGTTTGCCCAGCTCCCAATTGATGAAGTAGACTCCACTTCCAAGATGCTGCTACTGTGAGACTTTGGGATGTTACGCCAGGCAGGAACCAATCCACCTGCTCGTTTCATATGAACATCCCTCCAAGAAGAGAGTAATTATAGTTTACAATTTTACTAATCTCTCCAGGAGAAATTATATCTACCTTTTTTTTTTTAATCATCGCATAAATATTTACTTGCATTTTAATTTCATAAAAAAAGTCTACCATAAGAAAATCTTGGGAGAAACAGAGGAAGAGAAAGTTAACAAGGGGGAGGACAATAATTCTAATCTCCTCCATAAAAGTATGCAATGCATATTAAAACCATGGTCTGATAGCTGTTCTCAACAGATTCTTACAACTGGAAATCTACTATTCTGACCATAAACAGTCTCAGTTTGTGATTGCCTGAAGCTTCCTAAGCCAAGGAGAGAAACACGTTGTGCTGCCTGCTTATTTTGCATATAAATATTGCAAGTGTCTTGCAATACTTCAGTGAACCTCTCAAACTTAAAATGTCAAAGATTTCTGTATGAGACTATTGATTTCTCATTTTGTATAAGGCTCCTATCAAGCAATGGCTTAACTGAAACAAAAAGGTCTATGAGCCGTTCAAAGGACAAGCACAAAGTTTGATATTTTAGTTGAGTTTTTAAATCATAGACTAAGTGTACAACTGTTTCAGATGCATCATTTTAGTCAATATTTCTCATTCAACTGAACCCCACTTCTTTTCCTTCTCACTAGCAGTAAGCTATCTATATACTGACAAGAAGAGGAATCAAACTCACTCAGATTCCTATTTCCCTTCTATTTCTCCCCTGCCCCAATAAAACTTCAATACAAGTCAGGAGCGCTGTTTTGCATTTTTAAAAAAACGTTTCACACCATTATGTAACTACAGAAAAGAAATCAAGACTTCAGACGCTCCAAAAATGAAGTTTGTTGACATCTACCTGTGGGTGCTTGAGCTTTCAGACAAGGGCATGTCCAGACTAACTGGGCTGTTGCTGTTGCGTTCACTGCTTTCATAGCCAGACTCCATCCTCTGTATTAGATGAGGGTGTTGATCCACCACGTGATGCTGGGTGCCCCGGCCTAGCACACCACGCTTGTATCTGACATTTGACTGGCTTGATCTTGTTTCTTGAACAGCGTGTTCCTTCACCTCATTCTCAATAAGCTCTTTACCTGTCAAGACAAAAGAATATAGCTTGGTAGAAGATCCAAGCTTCAATACCAGCAAATCATCTATACATAATGACAATAAATAAATAAATGTTAGCTTCTCAATCATGCTTAAACCAGAAGCGCTGCCTTTAATTTACTGTAAAACTAGCAATATTAAGTAGAAAAAAACCCAATATTTTTACAGCATTCCCAGTAATATTAAGCAATAATCTATTCAACAAATTTATTTTTGAATCTCTTCCCTTTAGTATAACTTACCATATTCCCCCCCAGATAACAATCAAGTCTGGAAAGAAAATCCCTTCCTCCCCGTAACAATTTGTATTTGTACAAGATCATTTTACAGTATACCCAACTGTATTTCCAGTTTGTATTTGTTATTGTACCCTGTCATATCTACTTCAGACACTGTACTTCTTACATTGTTTATTTTGCCACTTACTATTTGATGAGGCTTATATAACACTAGTTCATAGAGGACAGGAAAAGGACAGGAAAACTTTTTTTTTTTTTTTTTTTTTTTTTTTTTTTTTTTTTTTTTTTTTTTTTTTTTTTTTTTTTTTTTTTTTTTTTTTTTTTTTTTTTTTTTTTTTTAAAAATTCTTCCTTACTGATTTCACTGTGTATTCCCAGTATTCCCACTTGCCTCGTTTGCTCCCCTTACTTCCTTCCCTGGAGCTGCATTCTCTTCTCCCTTCATCTCCCCTATATATATTTCTTTATGCCTCCCAATTCTTTTCAACCTTTAGCTCCTTCTAGTCGGTATCATCTGTCCCTTCCTCTCTCCAGGTCCCCAAATTTCTGCAACAGCACCCGCACTAACCGCAACTCTACTGCCAGTCACACAAACCTCTGTCCTTCAAGCACTCCGAGATGGGAGCGCAGCAGCTCCAGTAGCATAACAGCATAAAACCCAGGAACTGGTAAACTGCTCTCCACATCCTTTACAGCTTCAGGAGTACCCTCCTCTTGATAGGGAGCAAAATAACTGTTACATTCATTTGCAGACTGGGGAAATGGAAGCGGGGGGCTGGGGCAGGGGCAACAAAAGATAAAAATCTGTTGTGAAACAACTTTGGGTATTACCTTCAAGAACAGCAAAGCTGAGGACAAAGTCTCTATGTACAAGTTGCATAGCTGCTATGGTGCAAAATGGTCCCAGATAAATCATCACTGGCTGCCAGGCTCTTACCCTCACAACAAGAACTCAGCACTGACATACGAGGTACTTGCCGCACCATAGTCTGAGCCGTCATGCAAAAACACCATGATGAGCCAGAGAAAAAACCCAGACCAATACAAAAGGCCATTCCAAGGGATGAACTTCCAGACACTTAGCAGTCTAACCCTATGTTCATTTAAGGAGCGCAGATGGTAAAGTTTCCCTTATTATTTCCTTACATTAGGACATTTAGCACAGAGAAAGCAAACAGAAGTATCATACATGCAACATGAATACCCACACAGAAACTAGCCTTCAAGGACACGACTCACCACTGATCTAAATGCCACGTTCAAAATTTCACTTTCCTACTTTATTTAAACAAAACTGGATAGTGGAGGATTATAAATTCCACACATGCTGAAATAAATCTTTCTTCTCAAACTCTTACCTGCCTCTTCAGAGAAGGGGCTAAGCTGAGTATAGCCACAATGTTTCCTCTTGTCTTTACTGAAGATGCTGTCTATATTCAGAGACTCTCTTTTGGGTCTCCAAGTTGGCCGGTACCTGCTAGACGAACTGGATTTAGACTCACTGCTGGTACTCTCCACTTCCCAGTCTCGAGAGCGTACAGACAGGCTTTTTGAGGGTCGTGTTTCTGCCTGATCCACACTACTCCCTCCACGAGGGGAATTCTGAATGGTTTGAGAAATCTGCTGTGGTCTGCTGTGGATCATATTGCTCACTGTCTCTTTAAATTCCCTCAGCCTGCTGGTGCTGCTGGATGGTTTGGGGGCAGTTCTGGGGGCTTGTTTCTCCTTCAAGGTTTCTCCTGCAGTTTACAGAGACAGCAAAAGCCAAAAAAATCACTTCAGATTAAACCAGCAGCGCTACGTGCAGCATCTGCATGCAGACTTTGAAAAGTAAAAAACAAACCAAAACAAACCCCAACAAAATTAAAAAAAACCCCAACCAACACCCTCCAAACAAACAAACAAACAAAAAAAAGCAGAGACAGGCAAAATACAGACAAAGATGTAAGAAACAAGGAGGGAAATGCATGTACACACTGAGGATCTTAAAAACATGCAGAAAGAGATACTGATATTTGAAATAAAGTAACATCTCTTGCCTTCACTGTGGTATCCTGATGACTGAGCCTCATCTCCTTTTCGCCGAGACCGGCTAGAACTCCTCTTGCGGTCTGCCAGTGAGCCCTTTTTGGAAACATGCCTCTGATTGCACTCACTGTCAGTCAGGTGCCCTGGAAGGACAGAAGAATACAGTAGAGATGACAAGAGCCTTCGGACCAAGTGTTCTGCGCACTAAGAGCGGCAGGGCTCTCTTGCTCCTTAGGAGCTGCAGATGCTCCAATGCTAACTGGCAGGTTTGGGTAAGTTTCTGTATCCAAAAGTTTTTGGTTTTGTCTTGGGGAGGGTGTTCTGTTCTTAAGGTCATAAAAGAGCAACACAGCCCCTCCAAGGACTCTGGTTAATGAGAGCTCATCCACAGGGAGAGGAAAAAGTTGACTCTGCCTTGTCTTCTAATAGTCTAAGGACACCACTTTCTTGCTGTCTGAATACTTTCTCAGTTTTAATGGCCATGAACATGAAACTCCTGAGGACAGCTTGCTTGACATTACTCTGTTCACTGAAGACTCAAACACATGAATGAGTTACCATGTAATAATAAATTACTGCACATCATCGGCTGCTCTGCACTAACTATCCATCTGCACTCTCTTCACCTGTAGCAAATACTAAGTTAGCTTAGTCTACATTGAAGAAGGCTCAGCTGGCTCTCAAGGGCGAAGCCAGCTAATTCACATCTGCCACAAGCTAAGAGCATACACACAAACCATCAACATGGATCAGCTGGCACACGACGACGTTCCCTTACTACAGCTCATGTGTCTGAGTGATAACATTGTCTCTTGCACACAATTTATTCCCCATTTCCTCACATCAAATGTGAGCTAAGAGTATTTGACATCACAAGTTTTCTGTATTGCCTTTTCTTAATTTTATGGTTCTCACACATTCACAGTCCTAAACCTGCAAGCACAAACACACGCATGGCTTTACTCACGTGAGTAGTCCCAAGCAGAGATGCAGGATAAGAAGGGAATTTATGAATAAGCTACAAAGACTTTTCTCTAGCCTTTATATCACCAACTTTCACCTTGCATAGGATGATAGGGAAGGAAAATCCCTACTACCCAATAGCGGATTAACAGCCCCCAGACTGCATAGCTGGCTGTTCTGAGCCTTCCCCCTTCTCTAGAAATTAACATGAAAATCAACAACATTTAAAGCAGATTTTACACATAAAATTGTACCTTCAGCAGTTGAAAAAATAATTCACTTCAACTACAATTGCTACAAAGATACTACAATAAATGAGTGGGAAGGAATCCAAACAACAAAAAAGCAAGCTACACAAGACTCGCATTTCTATTCATTTGCAAAGTGGAGAGTGATTTTGTAGCCAAATTCTTTAGAAACAAGGAGATTATATAAAATAAAAGAAATTAAGGAAGTAAAAGAGAAATGTTGGCAGTGAAGATAGAAGATGTGCAGCATTTAGGTGACTGAGCATGAGTCAGTGCTTTGGGAGAATTTTCTTTCCTTCACAGCATGGATTGTCTCACATCTTTTAGGGACTGAAAGAACAGTATTATCTTATATCTTGTAGTGGCTCCCCTCAAGATAGAAGAGGCTTATGTTTCACTTCAAAGTGTACAACTTCTCTAGTTAAACATTTTTCCACCCAGAGTTTTTTCCACCTGATAGGGAGTGCTTGGTTAACATCCTTCAAGTACTGTAACAGAAACTATTTAAAGATACTTCGTGCTGCTGGAGCTAGCTTAGAGTCTGCGTAGACTAATTAGAGCCCAACTTAGCCTTGTAGAATCAAGGCTGCTAGCTTTGCATAAATATTTTCTCCTTTCATAAATTGCAAATTCTGTCCTATTGTCACTGGACGTTTAATAGCCATGGAGGAGATGCCAAGAATCAAAAGTTTGCAGGACACAGGCTTTGTTGTCTTTACCTGGACCCTCTGGAACAAAGACTAAATCCAACATAATGCATGAATATAGGAATTACAATCCCAAGAATATTAGCTAACACTTTACACTCATTTTTTTTAATTCACTAAAATAACAAGCCAGGATTTCTGTTTGAGCGCCCAGTCATATGCTTAAAAGGTGTCCCTTGCTGAACGTATCACTTAAATACCTCATCCTCCAGAGGTGGGATGGCTTCATAAGCAGTGATATTCAAAGGAAAAGTTTGTTTTTGTAGGGGTTGTGTGCATGTCTAAGAATATGTTAGAGAAGAGAATGAAATCAAACACATTAAGACAGAACGCCCCCTACTCCCTCCCACTGAAATCTCAGTTGCATGAATAGGGCAGCCAGAATACGCACAGTTTTCTCAGCAGCACAGGTTGGTAGGAGCAAGAGAGGGCTTATGCAGCCACTCTTCATGCCCCCATTCTGAAGCACCCAGGTGCCTGAGGTCATACAACCCAATGGTGGTCTTTCCCCGGAGGACGATGTGGGATAGGGTCCATAATTTTCTGGGCTGGAGTAGTGGGTAAATGGCCATTAAATGAAGAATCCTGCTCTTGCCCACAACGATTCAGTTGACAGGTCAATGTGGATGGCTTCTTTATAGCCCCACGGATCAGCATTTGATGATTGAGCAGTTGTGCGAGTTGGCCGACTGACTTTTTTGGAAAGGTTTTGGGTAGGTTAAAAAAAGGGGAAATGCCCAGACAGGTGGCTAGCTAAGGGGACAGACTGACTACAGCTAAGGCTGAATCAGGGAAGATGAGGACAACTGAATTTAGGTGGTGAGACAGGCTAGGCTGAAGGGAATAACATAGGATAGAATCAGTAGGAGAAGAAAGAAAAAGAAAAGGAGAAAAATCACTAAAAATGACAGAACAAAAGGTTACATGCTGAGCTTCATGCTTACTTGTTTGCAGCCATCCCCCTACCCTCCCTTTTCTGCTGACTTCTGCATGGCAAGTTTTGCAGGGAGGAATCTAATCCAATAAACTCTGTGCCACTTTTGAAGACTATAGACAATATTCCACTAGCATTTTCAATTTTGTCGTCTTCGTACTCTGAAGGTCAACATAAATTTTGTTCCCTCATCACTGAAATTCTGCTCCAACTTTCCCTTCTTTCTCACACTCTACCTAGGACTATGACTGGAACCTACAGTGTTAAGTATTTGCTAAAACATTAAAAGTACTGTCAGGCTATCTAAAGCCATGTATTACAGTTACTTGGACCTGTGATGAAGAGTGAAGTACTGAAGGAAACCAACTTGAAATATTTTTTCCAGATTTTGATGTGAAAAATATTTGTATCATAGATTGTTTCAAATGAAATAAATACACATATATCGTCACAATACAAGAGAGCGACTGTTTTGCAACTAAAAGGACAAAGTGGTATGATAGCTGTTGACACTCTGCTGCAACAAACAGTTGCTGATGCAACTGAGAAGATGTGTCTTCTCAGAAAGTCTATTTAAGGCACAATAAAGTAACTTTTCAAACAGACTTAGCAAAATCATATTTCTGAAGCTTGAGAAGTCTGTCCTTAACTCATGCGCTACTTTTTCAGAAGTGATGTTAGAAGTTAGTACTGTATGCAGAAACAGGTTGACTAAGGTCACTGGACATGAATAATAGAGGAGATCTAAGCCTTTAGAATTCCAGTTAACATCTTTTCAGCTAGAGAGTGTTCAGGCAGACTGTTCAGCTGCCCGAAGGAACATATATACAGGCTGTCTTCTCACTGCAGATTCTCACTTCACTTGCTTCCATGGCATAGGCAGGAAATCACCTTATGCTCCTCCCTGGTGCAGTAAATACTACCAACGCCCACTTACATAGAAAGCCCTTAGTGCTCAAGTATGGGAGATTCTGGTGATGAAAGCACCTTTCCCAGACAGCTGCAACTCCTGAAATGAAGTAACTGCCCGTAGATGAGTAAGTAGCACACACAACACTTACCAAACTGCACAATGGCACTGTACAGCAGACTCCAACTTACAGAATTATATAACAAAGAGTGCAGGTGGGATTGTGGATTACAGAAAACATGTCTGTAAATGTTTGTCTGGCTAGATACAAGTCTACAAAAGCCAACAAGACATTTAAAATTAAGCTTATTTTTGTGAATGCCAATGGTTCATTACAAACCAAAAACATTTAGGATACTAAACACTGTTCACTATTCTGTTATAGGCTGTATATATAGAGATTTTTCACTGGAATCCACTGCAGTCATCACATTTAATGACAATTATCACACAGATATAATGGTATCTGCTACCTGTGTCCCTGCTGCTTTGTGAAGCTGCATCGTTCTCCACATTGTAGATGACCGTCCCCTGCGAGTCAGAGGAGAAGTGACTGACCACAGACTCATGGTGTGCCTGTTTATAAGGATAGCTGTCTGTAGAGGAATCTGTCCTGGTATCACTCGAGATGGAAGGTTCTCTCCCTAGGGAAGGAAGCAATGTCAAATTTCAATCTTTTGGGGCTATTATAAAGGTCAGGAGAGGCTAAAAAAAGAAAACAGGAATGGAACAGAGGAAACTACACAAAAGTTAACAGAAAAACAGAGTACCAAACATACAAACTCAGATTCATGGACGCTAGACTTATGGGAAAGGTCCTCTCCTTTGGAAGGGGGAAGAGTGTCACTCCTTCTGCAAAACTATTTCTTTCTCTCCAATAACTCCAAACTTATCAACTCCTTTTATTATGCAAAATTACGTCCATTGGACTGAAAGTACACATTAGTACCACACTGAAATTATTCTTTATTAAATTTCGACACCATCAAGTGTAATTAAAATATGCAATACACTGCTTCAGGGGAAGTCGAAGTTAAAAAATTAGTCAAGTACAAAACATTAATAAGGTAACAAGAACATCACAAGTTATAATAATTAACACATTTCATCTATTATGAATCAAAAGCTTATCTAGTAAAACTTTACTTTAGATAATATAACTTCAGTATAAAGTACCTGCTCCTTCTCAAGAAACTGGCATTGGTCCACTGCACAAGTGGGATACTGAAAAGGATGAAGCATCATGATTCAACTTCAGTAGAGTAATTCCTAAACTCATTAAAAGAGGAGAAAAAGACCACCTCCTCCCACACTACTGAAGTACATAAAAAAATCTGAACAGTTTGAAGACTGTTGGCCATTTTATGTATGTGATGTATACACTCCTGAATATACAGGATATTAACTTCATACTCATTCCTCAGTGGAGAAATTAACGAAGAAAAAAGAAATTTAAGAAGAAAGTAATTCTTATGTTTAATTGCAAACACTCAGCCTGAGGGAACTTCACGTTTTCGGTGAGAGCAAGTCCTGTATTTGATGTTCTCATTAAGGATGCCTAACAACTTCCAAAATCAGAAACTTCCCCCCACCTCCCTACTGGTTAAAAGTCTTATCGGTCTAAAGAAATACAGAATACAGCTGTTAATGGAGATGACAGTCACAGAAAGAACAATGTAGGCAACAGAAATCAGTGCTGTGGAACTGAGTACTAGAAAATAATTTGTAAACTGAAGTCTTTATTCAACAGAAAAATCAAAAACATTAAGAGGAGTTGTTTGCACTTAGCTTCATAACGTTTCATACCGGCACCTTTAACAATCTTTCCTCCATAATTTGTAGTATCAGATCTTGATGTGATTAGATGCATTTATCAGATTCCCTTGACGAAAGTTCAGGTACAATATTGTGATTAACAACTTAAGAATAAGCAGTTTCTATTCATTTCTGAATTATGGGCTGTGGATATCTGATAACACCGAGGAATCCAGGAGAAGCTGTAGTTACACTTAGCAAGAGACAAAAAGGCCATTCTGAAAAAAGTGTATTAGAGTAGAAAACTCTGGCTATCAACAAGGCTAGAGAATAATTCAGTTCTATTTGCCAGGAAAATGTATAGGGTATGATTTCTCCTGGCACTTGTGAGACAGTATCTCACAAATTCTCTAAGAGCTTGGTATCAATGTTGAACACAGCAGACTACAGGAATAAGCCTTGAGGACTCACCAAGTGTTTTTGAAATGAAAGAGCAAGTTACTCACTGTAGCCTTCTGAATTTTATCTAAAAGGAAACACCTTTATAAATATATGTTTTTGTATTCAGCTTCCTGAAGGCATTTTAAAACACAGTAATATTAGATACTGCAGAGACAATGAGCAGAAGGGTTATCTATGTATTTCCTGGAGATCAACCAGCAGAACAGCAAGGCAAATTTACAGCGTATATTGACCTGAAGCTTGTAGAAGCGCTCACAACTGATATATAGCACTGAAGGTCATCCTCTCCCTCCTCCAGACTTCCCATTTTTTTCAGAACAGGAAGACAGGTTTATAAATTGCAAGGCATCTTGTCAAGTGAGAATTGAAGGTCGTCTTACCAGTGTTTTTATTTGCATTTATTTTAAGAGGAGTTGGAGATTTATTTCATTACTGGTAGATAGTCAGCACGTAAATAAGGAGACAGCAGATGTTCTCTACAGATTCATTGACCAGGAAGCATAAAGTTAGCTATTGGCCAGGAAAACCATAAAATATTCTTGGAATTACAGTTGTATAAATAGGCTAAAATCCTGGAAGAAAGGTTGTATTTCTGGGTTTAGTCTCGCCTTGCTGTTCTTGGCAACTTATAAACCTGTCTCTAATTCAGGATATTCTCTGCAAACATCCAAAAATAGAAACAATCTTCTTTTGCAAAGCCATAACAATATAAACTTAGATCCAGCCTCTATTTTCACTCTATCTGGATTGCAACTGCATATCTTTCTCAGAATTTATCTATTCCTCTTTAAATGAGTCCTCAATCCCCAATGGTGTGACTAGATGTCTGAAACTTTCCAGAACTTCAGTAAACCAACAGCCTGTTCAGGCCACTACTGATATCTTGAGCAGACCGTTCTAACCTCTGAAGCACCTTATTTGGACATACCTTTCTAATTCAACGGACTACCATTAATACAAAGAATTCGGGAAGTAGCAATGTGTTGAAGGCCTCTGTGATGTTAAGTGCTACAAATCTATAGTTGTAGATCTTTTTTGATGCAAAACAGACCACGAAAAATGAAGAAGTAAACATGATCTATGGACATTAGCCTTTGCCAATCCCTTCCCCTTTGGTCTCCCACAAATCAATTCATCTCTCTTGCACTGCTTTATCTGAGTAAAAGACAAGCCAAAGGCTGAAGATAAGCTGCACTAATTCTGTCTCTCTCATTTTTTATTTTTAATAAAACTGTTTTCTTCCCCTTCCCCCCACATGCCTTCACCATCCTAGCAAAGACTCATTTATGATGTTTCCTTAATGTTTTTTTCACCCTAACTTCCCTCCTGAGTTTAATTCTGCAGCTTCCTTTAATTTTTATGTGTTCGTGCATCCCTGCTCTTGTTCCCCTTCCTGTTAAAACTGCTGATGGATTTATGAACTCAGACACTGAAGTAATCAGTTATTGTTCCTCTCTACATCCATGCCACAACAGGTCCTTTACTTTTTTTTTTCCAGTTTCTTTCTTCAAACCTTTTTGGAAAAGATTACTACCCAAACAATCAACAGAGTCTTGGACTGAGACAGAGGTTCAAAGGTGGAACACTGGAAGTCCTCTTCAGAATTGTAGATCAGCTTTGACAAGCAACAAGGACCCCTGCTAACAAAACCACACCCAAAACAGAAGAAAAACTTTTCACATGCATCATTACAGCATAAAGGTATAAGGCATATAGTCCAGACTGCTTACCCGAGTCTTCGCTATCATAGCAAGTCCTGCTATATTGCTGTAAATCCACTTGAGGGGGCAAGTCTTGTGTTGACACTGGAGTTCCTCTCGGATCTGCATACAGCAGCAGCAAAGGCTGATAGTGACCCTTAATGCACTTTGTCACAACATCTTTCCATTTTGGACCAATCTGAATTAACAACAAAAACAAACAAACAAAAAAAAGCACAAAAAAGGTCTTCTGTCACCATTTTCTATAATAAGCTCTCTTTTTTTCCCCTCATACTTCTTTCAGAGTTTCATTTTCCACTAACATTCTTTAACTCCTATATCCAGCATTGAACTGGACTCACCAAGAAAACTCTTGACTGCTGGTCACATGTTGGAAAACACATCAAAAAGAGATAAGAATTCTAAAATGTAACTGAAAATAAACTGTCTCAAAATTGGCATTTCCATTCCTCTTTCTGAGATTCACCTTATTTGAGAAAAAAGTACCACTTGTGACACCAGCTGGTCAAGAACACACCCTTGAATACCCTGGAACCGACCCAACTAAAATCAAGGTATTCACCACCTCATGGCTAAACAAATTACAATTCCTGCTAAAAATAAGACTACAAAAATAATCCTTCCTTTTCAGATTTTTTTTTTTCCATAAAAAGCTTTTCATCCTCTGAAATGTTCTAACTTTGCATCAGTAAACAAAAAAAAAAAAAAAAAAATTTGTTAACAAAATTTCTTAATCCATCCATCAGCCTAAACAAAATGAACAATAAAAGACATCAACAGCATGACAGCAAATTCAAGTCTAAGCTAACCACTTTGGTGTGTGAATATTTCTGCTGTTACAGAACCTCTGCAAGCATTTTGATAGGCCAGGCAATAATTCATAGTTATATTAATCTAAAAAATCTTCCCCATGTACTAATACAGGTTTCACCTAATACACTGGACATCTATTCCAACAAATGTGCTCCACACATGAGTATTCTACTAAAGCACTGCAGTACCTATACTGGCAAAGTTTTGCTGCAGAGAAATGTGGCTGAACAAATGCAAGGATTAGAGCTTTCCCTTTGAGACTGTGCTTGGCACGAATACAGGAGAAAATTCTCCTCTCTCACCTTTGTGCTTCCATGACTAGAAGGAATAAAAGGACAGTGGTGTGAAATAATGGCAAACAAACTAATGGGATGTAATAACAGTGTGCCAAGATCCCAGCACTGGTATCTTTAATGTCAAGGACCTCATGCTTGGTGAAAAGGGGCGGGAGGGAAGCACTAACAGAAGACGCGGCAGTGGTTGTTGGCAGCAACCACTAGGGAAGACTGGCATCTAGATACTTCAACAAAGAACTCAAAACGCAGGCACTAAATAGCTATACCGCTTGTCAGCAAGGGAAAGAGTTGTATGTTAGCTGTGCGCACAAGCAAACTGCAGGTTTTCAAACAACAGCATAAAAGCAAGCCAACACAACAGAACTAAGAATAGGGCTTCTGAGATTTCTGGTAAGTTTTTTTGAGAATGCTTTACTTTGCTCAGAAAAAGGAGCAACAGAGTTATGGATCTTGAGTGGAAAAATAGCCAAAATTTCTCGAAGTCTGTAGAAAACAGTATGGATCTACACACAAGTAGCTAACACATTTCTAACAGATTATTTTTCTAAACATTATTTTCTCACCTCTTTGACATGAGCATCATCAAAGTACATCCACTTGCGGATTTTAGTTTGGAAGAAGAAGGTAGAATAGTGTTTTCCATAGTAACAGATCATTCCCACCAAATACAGCTCTGAGTGTTTTGCTCTGTCATCAGTTACTCTGAAGAAGAGCTTCAAGAAGGGAGGAGAAAAATGAGTACTCTGAAGAAGATCTTCAAGAAGGGAAGTAAGAAAAATGAAAGGAGAAATTAATAAAATGCCCAGAATTTTACATACTGCTTTGCGTTTGAAGACCTCAAAGTACTATAGAGAGGTGTCAGGTTTTTACTTCAAGAGACAGAGAAAACAAGGCAATAAATACTTATGTAATTAACCAATGTTTAAGCAAACCCAGTGACATAGACCAGGAACAGACTCCTACCAACTCACCAGATGCTCAAGAGTCAGTCCCGGAGACTGTGGCTGTACTTTGAGCAAGACATTTACAACAACGATATAATACCTTTTCAGAATTCGAAGTGTGGTTCTATTCTGAAAATTTGTATTCTCTGCGTCAGGCTTGCTGATTATATCAAATACTGTTTAAAACATTCATTCCTCTCTGCTTTGTAGAAACACAGCAGTTCTGACAGTGAACAACTGGCATTTATTCTGACTTAAGCAAAGACAAATTTTTGACACCACCACATAAAAGATGAAGTGAAGACATTAGTAGGTCGAAAGAATTCAGCACAGAAAAAATTGTTTTCTATTTAGTTGACCCTGGTTTATTTAAAAATGCACAGGAGTAATTTTTTAGTGCATTACTGCTTTACCATGCAAGGACCACACTGTTTCATAACCACATTTCCATTAACTTGCGCTAATTTTGGTACACTATGCACTGGCCAATGCATTTTTTTTTTAATATATGTTTATGTACTTTTTTTTTTTAAATTATTTTAATGTAATAACTCAATGCTACAATAAGACACAGCTACAATTTGGTATACCAATAATCCAGCTCTAAAGCATCAGCTAACATAGAAGAAGTGAATCCTCTAGGGGACAAACCTCTGGATCCCAAACACTACTTAATATAATCTATCATTCAATCACACAGTGCCAGCCACCATCTCTCAGAGACTGCTCAGTTATAAATAACTCTTAAGTGTTACGACCACACACTTCAAAGAAAAGAGGATTTAAAGAAGTTAAAAAAAAAAAAACCACACAACACACTAAACAACCCCAAACTACATTTTGTCTTCAAAAAAAAAAAAAAGAAGAAATAACCTTCTGTTCTTCAAAATGAAAGAGTACATATGTATTTTCATAGAAATAGCACAAACCCCAAAGCAAAATTTCCTTGCACTTGAAAATATTTTTTCATTCAGACAAGCTTTGTTCTCTGGAGTAATTTTTAATTTTCAGTCATTTCAGAAATTCGAGAATATGCAACTACACTAGTGCTTTTATAGGTTTTGTGAAGCATCCAGAAACAGATCCTCAGATCTGCCCTCTATTCCTCTTTTTATGGACACCAAAAAGATAAAGACAGCGACTTTTTACTTTTCTCAATCCACTACTATAGACTACCATGAGAAAGACTGTGTTTGTAGGTAGTGTCAAAGTACAAAAAACTCACATCTCCCAGTTTAAGGCAAGTGCCCAGGCTGTGAATCACATCCTCAGCCAGATCAGAGTGGTCCGAATCCCAAACTAAGCCAATGGTGATGATCTGTGGAGAGTTCATCAGCACACGACGAATACGGATCTTTTCCCCACAGTTGCTCTGAGGATTTAAATAAAACAAAACATGGAATATAATCCTTCTCTTATTATGTTAGGGCAAGGCACTAACAAGTACCAGTTTCAAAAGTACAGCTTCCAAAGAGGTGGTGGTGAAACACAGCAGATATAATATGCTCAGTGTCAAGATATGAGCTTCCTATGTCACAGATGAGGAGCGTTATCAAGACTATCTGGTATTCACAAGCTTTAACGTGAACACTGCTGATTCTTCCTCATACTACTGATAATGATTAAAAGGTATAGCGCAAAAGTAGGCTTATTTATAAACAAGCATACATGAAAGATCCCAAAAACATTCTTAGGAATTGGAGGGAAAGCTCACTTTCTTTTGATCAGAATCTCCGATTTAAAAAAATCATATTTACAGAGACTGATCCTTTATATGACAGTGTCAGAAAAACCTTCAGGGTGCTGCTTTGCTGTTAAAATTGGGTGGTTGTTCTACAAGGTACCTCAAGTATCTCATCTTAGGATAGTTAGGTCAGTATTCATATAAATATGAGAGCAGCAGCTGGAAGATCAGGAGGATAAGAGGTGCTTTACTAACCTATAGCAGGTCTTCATTTCTTATTTCCTGTTTCCCTTCCCCCTTCCATTTTTTTGTTTTTTAAATAACTGCCAGTGCTTATTGACTGGCTGGTCTCCCCTCACTCTCTAGCCAGAGTACTTCTCAGAGATAAGCTTGCTTGGGAAAGCTAAGACCTTTCTCAGTGGTCCTTCCAATCCATCACCTGTTGGAATTGTGGGCATCTTTAAAGCATCATGAAAAAAGCTCACCATCTGAATTAAGAGATTACCACTGTAATTTTAGCAAACAGTGCATTACTTTTTTTTTTTTTTGGGGGGGGGGGGGGGGGGGGGGGGGCAGCG